AACAAAAATAGTAAATAATAACTATAAGAAGTGATTAAAGTGAATAACCCACTTAGAAACTGTTTTTCGGTGCCACAGAAATTTTTCTTCAAATTCATGAATGCAACTCCTTAGGAGAATGACCATGATTCTGAGAAGCTCACGAATTACAACTATATTTGCAGCGAAATACTTAGAAGCACATTAAAGTGATCATCAGCCACACGTGCAGAAGAAAGAAAAAGAAAGAGAACAAAAAGAAAAAAAAGGTGTAGACATTGAAAAAGTGTCAACCACCTCGCACCTGACCAGTGGAGCACATAGCAGACTAAACAGACGAATAGTCATTACCTGCTCCGTTTCACTAAGCCTGTGGCAGATTAAAAAAAGACGAAGAGGCTCTGCAAGTGGGGCATGCAAGGATCATTGGTGGGGTTTGAAGGGTTTGGAGTCAAGGTGATTGAAGGTCTGAAGACATGCTACACCACAGGTGGGGTTGGATATGTTTTGTTGAAGCGAGTTCACCCGAATATCGCTTATACTGCCATATTAGTTCTGATTACATCCAATTACTGGTTTCTAGCAACTGCGTATGATGCGTCTTTTACACGGCCGTTGAATCGAGGACTTTTTCGCTGAGGAAGCCGTCCTTATTGCACCCTCCCTGTAGAGTTGGTATGGTGGCAAGAGGCGCATTACCCACCCGCACGGTCACGGGCCTGGATCCCGGATCGATACGCGCTTATGCCAACCAAGCCATTCGGGGTCGGCTAATTGGTNCCAGACTTGCTTGGGAGGATAAAAACACTGACTGGTACACTGGCTGGCCACCGCAAGTCTTTGTATAGGCCACATTCGCATTCAATACGCCACTACGATTCTGAATGGAAATCGAATATAGGGCGCATCCTGAAGACGGGATTGATTAACGCCCCGAGACTTTATCCTTTTTATGAGCTCTGAAGCAACTAGATACCTTAAACTTCCTCGCAGATATGGATAGAAGTCGCCGTTGTACGCCCCGAAAGTAAACCAAAGTTCATATTTCATTCTGAAAAGTCTAAACTTGAGAAATCGCTCTACGACCACTCGCTTCACAGACAGATTCTTCATTCATACCATCTATAAAACTTCTATCCGTCTCAGAGAATAGTGAGCAAGTGAGCTCTTATGGTTTTTGCCCAAAACAAATACCCATGAGAGCGTTTGTCTTCGAGAATCTCTAAGCGGTGAAAGAAGACAAGCGGGTCATATTTTTGGGATTTTTTCCATGATTAACCATGACTGCAAACATCTCTGGCCGTTTTCCCTAGGGTACTACTCAGCCGTTTGCCTTTTTAGATAGCACCCATGCGAAACGTTTAATCGGACAACTGGGGACATTCCAAAGCAAATTTCTCAATCGACGGAGTAAATTGAACATTTTGCCTCTATTTACTCATTATTTATTAATGATGCTTTCAGATTTCGTCTACAACGTCGTCGATTGCATGGCATTACTGTATTCCTGCCCTCAGAACTGTTACAGATCTCATCCTGATCTGATCGTGATAAAGCTGAAAGTGCTCGCAATTTCGTTGCTAACCAAAGGCTAAAAATAAAATAAAAATAAATATTAATCGATGTTGTTGAGATTGATCGATGCATTTCGATCTGTACTAGCCATCACCTTTGGCAGCTTAATAGCGCAGAGGGAAATGATTGGACTATCTGCCTTCATGCGGAATATTCTTCATTCATTGAGTTTTTAAATTCGTTTTTCCGCTTACCTAACTTTCCCGTTCATCTGGAACCTTCAAAGGGAACTGTCTGATGCATGTTTGCCACATTCAGGGAGTTGTTGCTCAAGCAAAAGAATCGGAGATTAGGCGGTCCGGACATGTCGTGGGATGTTGTGATGGACGGTTGGACCAGGGCTGCCTGCCACTGACTGGATCCCTCGACACGTCAAAGGGACACCGCGACGGCCCCGGTCAATGGTCAAATTTTTCTACGAAAGTTGTGAACGAAGTAAACAGTTTGCTCCGTACTCCTTGAAAAAAATAGAGTTTACTGGACGAAAATGGCTCGCGAGAGGCGAAATGGCTTGAGCTAAGCGATGAAGACAAATGATAGAGTGATTTCCCACGATGTTGGTATTTACTGGCATTCTTAACCTCCCACTATTAGGAGTTGAGTAGAATTAAGATTGATTGGCTCTTAAGAAGCGTTGATAATGATATATATGATATCCAAGATGAGCACTGGTGGAACTCTAGGCCATATACGGATCAGTCAGCACTCATCATTAAAGCAATCTCCATGCCGCGCCTCATGCAGTGAATGTAGTACATCTGATTGTATATGAAAACTTTACGGCTTCACAAGAGCAGTAGACGTATCGGTTGAAGTTCACAAAACATCATCTCGAACGAATTGATCTTCATACTAATTCTGAAAGTCATCACAGGATGATTCATTTAACATCGCTCTGGTATCAAAAAGTAGGGAAGACCTTCGGGACAAGCTGCAAAAGTGGCAGAGCGTGCTGCCGGAGAATGAACGACGGGTAAACGAGGAAAAGACAAAGTCTCTTAGCTCAGAATAGTGCACAGAGCCAAAAGTGGACCGCTATGGGGAAATTGTTGAAAGAGTACGTTTTTCTTTTTCCATCCCCATGCCTAGCTGCTGACGGTAGTATGGATCAGCTGCGAAAGCTCAAATAAACGTATCATAAGTGAAAGGACGACTGAACCGTAGGGTGTCCAGTGGCATCTTCTGTGATCGACGGTGCTCCAGGAAGCTCAAGGGGAAGGTTTACAGTGCAGTGGAGAGGCCCACAATGTTCTACGACAGAAGTGCTAATCAGTAGAAGGAAAGAAAGCTCCTATTTCCACCAGCTGAAGATGAAAGTTTAGCACTAACTTACAGCAAGACCTCTGGTTCCTGCAAAGCATATCTCCTTTTTCTTTTTTCTTCTTTCGTTTAAATATACTGCAGGATAAGATTGGCTGATCATTGTCATTATATGCGTTTTATTAATCTAAATCCAAAGGTATCAATGTTACAAGCATGCCTAACAAGCTGATAGCTGTTTAGCTAGCTGCCACTGCTGACAGATTTGCTCACCACTTGAACAAAGTATGCTCGACTGCAAAACCGTCAGCGACTGCGCGGACACTCTCTGGTGCGCGTCCAGTGTTGTCAATGGGTGTCCAGCAACGCACGTCGCTGTACTCTGAATGCACTCCATTTTTCGAATGTATAAAAGCGAATCTAAATTTAACATGTCTGTAGAGCATTAGATTAGAGATAAATGTTACCAAAAGTTAAATAAATAAAGGCCAAATTATTGGGGTTGGTCAGCTACGCTCAAGAGATGCGCCCCAGCATTCGTATTTTATGTAGAATCGTAGAAGAATTTGAGCGAAGGCTTGGGTGGCTTCTGCGAGTATAGAGCCCGGATTCGAAAGCCTTCCATGCGTGTGTGATGAAGCGCTTTTTGCCGCTTTACCACTTTCGTCCCCATCAATGAACCAGCTCCATCTGAAGTCCTCGCAACGTTCAGGAACTTTAAAAAAAANAAAAAAAACTTATTTCTAGCAACTTCAAAACTGATAAACACATGTTTAAAGGCTAACCTTTGAGAGTTCTTTAAAACCCAAGGACTACTGACACATTGCCCGAAACACTGTTATTTCATTGAGCGCTGTAAACGCGCCTGACCACCCATTAGCAATTGATCTATAAGTTTAACACCAGTGGTTGGACTTAAGTACATAACTAAAGAACAACGCAACACGCCGCGGTGCGCATGAGTTCCTCTGTCAATCTTTGATATTAATGGGAGAACCCACTTTCTACGACGTGGGAATAACTTGACATCTCGTACTGGTCTCCCTGATACAGCCACCGCTACATTGACCGCCGTTTCGATCCTGCGCCCCAGCGACAATAGTTGACCTATTCAAAAAGTTGAACCCGTCCCTTTAAAATCTTTTCCTCTTCATCCTCGTCCGCGTTAATCGCCTGCTCTTTCTTTTTTTTACTTAACTATGTTTTATCATTTATGCTTTGCACAGTACTACGCTTTGATTTTGTTGTAGTGCCTGTTGAGCCTTTAAGACCTGATTTTTTGTTGTAAAATAGCTCAGAGCGACATAGGACTGCTAAACACACTTGTTGCCTTTTCTTTTCTATCAGAAGTTACTCTCTGCCGTCAAGCCTTATTGCACTCATAGCGCAGTAGATGGCAGAAGTGAACGAGGCAAATCGTTCCGTTAAGCAGATTCCCTACCTAAAAAATCAATTTGTATTTCGATCATTCCTGTTTTCCAACTGGATGGGATTTCATTCGTTTCGCTTTCGGTGCAGAATGACAATGTTATTAGCATAGACGTGAATTTTATGAAGACTGGTGCCAACATTTATAAATCCTATTTTGGTGACATTGTTGAAATTACATACGCGAATAGATAACGAACATGAGCTAATATCCATTTAAAGCAAGCTTTTAGTAGTTCGTACTACAGTCATTTAGTCACGAGTAAATCTATGGTATTCTTTTTTTCTTTTAGGATTGAATTATTCAAACTGTGACTTCTTCTTACTTCAAGAAGCCAACCAAAAGAGGATCTTACCAGAGTTTTGAAGAAGTCTTTGATCGTTTGTAGTTTACCCTTGAAATTTTGGATGAGAATTTGACCATAAAGCGCATGCATTCAAATATGACAGATTCACAAACCTTCAATCCGAAATATATAAAAAAATTTTGTTCAATTTTTCTAACCCTCATTTCTCCAGTGCTTATTCTTCTGATATGAGTACACAGTGTGTGACTGAGAAGTTGTAGAATTTGGAACATTACCCTTGGGGTAACCACTCTCTGAGAAACGAATTCCACCACCAGAGCATATCTTACACCACTTTTGGCTTTGTTTAGACTTTTATATTCGAAGTGGTCTCCTTCATTTCGCCAATGTCTTTCATGATTTTCTTGTCTTGCCTTTGTCTCTATTTATGTGTGTTGCAGACAGCAGCTAATGACTGTGGTAAACGAACTCGATTCGCACCTAATGGCTTCTGGGAAATCGAATTCTAACGGACACTTCGCCGAAAATAACCGGTTTTTATGAGTTTACATTTTCTTTGTATCATCAAGACTTTTTACTAGTAGTGTAGACTTTGTAGTTTCTGGATTTTAAATGGAAAATTTGGCGGGGTAATTTTGAGCTTCGACAACCTTGGAATTGCACCTAACGAAAAATTTAACCATGCTCTGAGATTTGACGGAATACCAACAGTTTGAGCAATCGCTGTATGAGTGCCGTTCCGCGCAGATAAGCCTCAACTGCGCATTACGTTGGTTTTAGCGCTTTCATGAATAGCTCTGCATTGGCTTCAGTGGTAATAACTAGAAGAGCATAGTTATCAAGACAAGAGTTCTCCACTTTGATTGGATGGTATAAATTGCGGTGGCTCTGGGTGAATACTTTTATTGAATGGAGCTTCAACGTATGATTGGTAGGCAAAATTTGCAGTATATTGATTCTGAAGGTCCCATTGAGGGGAGCAATACATAAAGAGTTTTTTTTTGTCATGGGACTGTAAATCGCGCTTTTGTGCTTGAGATTACATAAAAGTTGGATAGTCACTATACATGGTGTACTTGTTGGTCTTGCTTAGAAAATTCGATACTTTTCGGCAATTTTCAACGCGTATTTGATCTATTAACTGAAAATTAATATGATTATTGGTGTTTTATCAGGAATGATTCGTTGGGTATTTATTCAATGTTTCCTTACACGTTTCTAACCACTTTGATGTCGAACATCCTGTCATCATTACCATCCAAGAGCATTCCTTGCTTGCACAAGAAGTTCGATATGTTGTTGAGGCTTTTCAAATTTCAAGCTGTTCTATAAAAAGTGCCGATCTATATCATTAACACCTCAGAGCTTTGCCAATGTGCGTCATTTCTAGTACTTCCTTTGAAAGTTCAGTGGTTTTCGGTATTTGTTGCCTATGAAGTTTCTGATTCAGAGTTAGTGGCCCAAGCAACATTTATGCTCTATGCCACAACTCGGTTTGTAGTTTTAGGGGTGGACCCGGTGCTGTTACTGAGGATTCAGCCGGAGGTAGTCATAGAAATGGTGACAACGCTGAGGATGTTCGCAAGCAGAGACTGCAAAAGTTTGTGTTTTTCCAATTCCATAAGACATGAAACCATTTTATTTTTCGATAGGCTCCATATTTATATTTTTAACTTTTCGATAGCAAAAATATGAAGTTATGACTTTTCCCGATGCCGAAAGGGCAGTACTTTGTGCTTATGCTTCGAGTTACTAGTATCTAGCTATTCTAGCTATGAAAGACCAAGCGATCTTACTGATTTGCCTGTGCGCATTAGATTTCGACTATCGCATTCAAATTTATTTTGACTGTTGCAAAAATTCGTGCTCGCGTTTTATTCATATGTAATTAGGACTACTCGTTAAGCGTGAAGGAAATGGCTCATCAGGCTAAACGAATCTTCTCAAAATCAAAACCAAGATATGAGAGTGTACACACAATGATGTGAGCGAAGCAAATTCTTATCATCAATTCATTTATCTATTTTTCTCAGGGCTATGCGTGTTTCGGAAGAATGGAAATCTGCAATGGCTAAACCACGTACGGCGGCGGCCACCGTTGTTAAGCCCGAAACTGAGCGTCGCCGTCCAACGCTTACAGTACACAAATTCAAGCAGCAGACCGAATCTGCGCTATCTACCGAGGTTTTTTTTCATAGCATTGTGGTGGAGGTACCACCTCAAATTCCTAAACCGTTATAGTTGAGCGTCGCAAGCGATAGCAAAATCTGCAGTGTGATCAGTGATATAATTTTTCTTCTACACGAAGCCGACCTCATCAAGGAAAATATTCTCTACAAGTGTGGGTGAGTAGTCATTCAGATGTTGAGATCTGCAAATCTTCAACAGAATGAAAAATCCTTATACTGTGACATCTTGAAGGCATTTCCTCATAATCAATTCCCACATTTCTCCGTTTTCCCTGTGACTCTTCCTTTCACAGCGTTATTCTATAAGAAATTCGTTGCTGTGCCGTGAAATTAGTCTCTCCGTTATACTTTATTTATTTACCGGGGTTTAATGCTCAGTTGGCACACCGCACCCGTTGTATGTCCTAGAAATTCAATAAGTGATCGGACTGTGCAATGTATGAGACAGAGTGACTGATGCGGGATTTGAGCCGATGAATTCAGTCCCTTTGATGGTGCGAGATTAGTACAAAGAATTGCTCCCCGCGTGTCCGTGTCGCGCACGGTGAGAAACACCGCTATCCTGGTTCTAATAACCTTACCCAGTTGAATTTACGTACCAGCTTACGCCACGGTCCGGAATTCTCAGGGGCACGACCGAGGTGATTTGGGTTATACGCGACTCAAGGAAGTGATCAAAAAGTTTGCGGAATTATTTTCAACTTGCGAGTGAATTAACATACAAGTGGTTAAATGATTGGTCCAAGCATCCACCAATAAGTGGATAGTTCCTAGCAAAGAGAATATCGCACTTATCAACAAGCGTTTTTAATGTTTCTTTTTGAGCGTTTTTGCTGCGTTTAAATTATTCAACTTGAAGGCTAATGTGGTAACATCAGCTCTACGATCGACATTTAATTGGTGTTCCTAAGGAATTGTTTTTAGAAAACTGAAGGAAGATTTCGAACGTGAAGAGACCGTGGTACGCACAATGCTAGCTGAAGCGAATATTCCAACGGCCATTTCGGACTCACTTCTTGATAGCCATTTTACTATGTCATCGACGAGATCAGCGGCTCCCGTACAAGATCCGCCTCATCCAACATTATCACCACGCCCTGGTGTTGATAGGTTAGCCGCTTCTGTCGTTTTTTTTTGTGGTAAATTTTCAGTAATCAACTATGTCCCTCTGTTAACTAAGTGAAATGCCCGGCGTTGTTCGATTAGGTTTTGCGATGTGCTGTGCATTCGATTTTTGATAGGATTGTGGTGCATTAGAACACGGTAGTTGTAGTAGCGAGTCACTGTATAGGCTCCAAGACGTGAAGTATACGCTATACATATTTGAGTGCATAGCGCATACTTGATCTTGCGCTAAATAGTGCTGATTTTGTCGTTTACCATTACTTTCTACTCATGTAGGACCACTACGAGCTCCTTGTCACGCATCTCACACTTTGAGCTGCTCGTTTTTCTGTTTTCTGTTCTTTACTGTTTTCAATGTTTACCGTTTTTTGGACGTTTCAGTGTCATGGCAACTGCGGTACCACCACCTTTCCCACCCACAAATGTGCCACCGCCACTGATAAATGCTTCTGTTCCGCCGCCTATACCACCGGCGTTTCCTACTCTTCATGCGAGTGCTTCACTGCCCGATTTGAGTGTGCCACCGCCACCTATAAACAATGTTGGTTTGTTTCCTGTTTTGATTTCTTGACAGCGCACTTATTTGATCCGAATATCTTCCAGTAGATATTATTTTTCGGCTATCTTTGAATTTGCTTTTTTTATTTGCGCGTTAGTCCGTAGATTTGGCTAGGCTAGGCCGTGATATTTACAGTATGAAGCACTATTACTATTCGGAAACTTTGTCTCAAATGATTTATCTTGTCATTTGATTCATTTTTGAACGCCGTAGGGATGAGTGTGCTGCTACATTATTAATATGGTTTTACTAGTTCCTTAAGTAGTAATTTCTTCGCAGTTGGATATTTATTGAAACTAATAAGAACTCAAGAATTGATAGGAAGGATGAAATTTTTTTCTGTTAGGCTTTTTTCACCACTTTACCTACACAATCCTACCCGTTTCACTCTGCACAACATACAAGATCAATTGATTTATCATTACTGTTTCGTTAATGTGGTGTTTTTTGCAGGTCACCTCTTCTGCGCATCCAACGCCGCCACCCACGCTGCCACCACCATTGACTACAACATCGTCATCAACGCCAATGTTCACAGTTCCTCCTCCACAAATTCCGGTTTCATCCGGCATGGAGTCGGTTCCTGGAGGAAAATCGACTTCTATCACCCCATCAGTACAACCGCCAGTAGCATTACCTCCACCATCGAACTTGCCGCCACCTTCGACCCTACCGCCACCATCGACCGCGCCACCACCTTCCACATCGGTGCTGCCGTCATCGACGTTACCACCACCAACATCACTACCGCCACCGCCAATCTTGTCGCCACCGTCGGCGGGGTTACCACCACCGTCATCTCTTCATCCGCCACCATCAGTATCGGAGTTCACCAACCGGCCGCAACCTGCGAGCACTGGCGGCGTTTCTGTGGAGACAATACTTAACGCGAGCCTTCGCCCCTGCTCAACGCTTCAGTTGTTAGTGTTTTTTTTTCATTTCAATTCCCATAAACCTTAACATTACCTATTAAAAATGGTGCATGCTTAAATTCTGGTTTCGTGTTAAACCATATTGGTATGGCATACAGTGCCAGTTTGGCTGATACTTCGCTGACATTTCCATTTTCAGTGGGCCTTTTTTTGTATTACATACCTCAGTTTTAGGTGCTCATCAGAATGGTTCAAATTAGTAAAGTAATGGGGTGAAGGAAGTTGAGGAAAAATTCAGGCAGTACCAGGGGCTTGTCGGTAAAAGTCCCTGAGAACCTATGAATCTTTGTTGCCCATGCCCATGCCATAAACGGGAATCATATTTTGTGCTATACATGTCACAAGCGAGATTCCCTGGTGTCTTTCTGTTTTCGTCTCAAAGTTGTTTTCGAGAACTTGCAGATTGTTATCTCATCTCATCTCATCGATTTTAGTAGTGGCCCGTTCGGACCCCCTATAGCCCCGCCGCCACGTAACGACTATCCTCCTCCAACTGCGTCACGAGGTTCTTTTCAAGGAACGCGTAGATTTGGTAAGAATTTTCATTTTTTTCTCTTTGCAATTTGAGCCTTAGCAGTTTCCTTGAAGATTTTTGTTGAATGGGAAGTTCGGACTGAGTTGTGATTTTTGATGTCTTTCTTATTCTGATAGAACTACATTTTGTAGTTCCTACTTAAGCAGTAAAATGTTACCCAATTGCCACATCACTTTCAATACCCGATTTGACCAGTGCAAATGAGGGCACGACCTATCTTTAAATGTTGTTTTCGAGCGTTTTTAACTTGCTCTCACTTTGATCGCCTCCGTAATGACAAGATATGCTGTTTATGCTATGGGGCTGGAGGGACCGTTTATCATTGAGAAGTCGAGATGAATCCTCTGTTGGTGTACTGTTTTTCTTAAAGTTGTGATTACCTCACCTTTCATAATGGGGAAGGAAGGAGCCACCAGTTGCTGAAACATGCTGCAGGATAGTGAAGCGTGGGTTGTCGGGAGTGATAAGGTGCAGCATGATCTGTTAACTACTGATAATCATATTGATTGATACAGGATTACGACATAAGTGACTTGTTTCGGTCTTTCTGAAGGGTTACAATATTACTCCTGCTGGATCTTGTCGCAGAAGGCTGGACTATTCTCACTTCTTGACTGCGAGAACAGCTTAGATTAAGTAGAGCTGTGTTCTTGAACTTCTGCATACATGTTTGGCGTTTCCTGGTGGAGGTGCTGTGGGGGCCAGTGTCGCACTATCAAACATTGATTCCGGGATAGAACATCAACACTGGCCAAGCCGACTAGCCCTCCAACCCGGAGAGCTAGGTTTGTAGAAACCGGGCTCGTTTGGCAGGATAAAAGTACCGGTTTGTACATCGGTTGACTACCGCCAGTCTTTTTACGGATTATACAGGAATTCAAAACGTCGCTTCGATCTAACATTTCCATGACTTTGTTTTTCTTCTTCTAGACGACCAGAAATACGCGAGCATAAGGGGGAGGGGGTGGGGGGGGCANGGGGGGCACACAAAGGTCATCCAATATCAAGCTAATTTGTTTCAACCCCGAAGAAAGGCCTATCTCATCTAAGATCTCGAAGTGATCGTCTTCTCGACCTTTGCTAAAGTATACCCCCCGGACTATAGAGCTGTGTTGGCGTCGTTAGTGGTTGCATTACCCTCATGACATTAGTTGCTAGGGAATTCGACACGACTGAGTTTTTCAGCTTTTCGGCGACCTTCCTTCTTAAATTTTGACGGTCGTCAGAAATGTGCCCTCTTTTAATATCTCTACGTTTTGGCAGAGAATCCAGTGCAGTCACACTTACAATTCATTTACACAACGTGTCGTTGTTGTCTGTTTGTCCTTTGCATTTACACACACAGTGCGCTAAGCGAAGATCACTGGCAGTAATCATGAAAACAAAAAAAAATTGCAGATAGAATAGTTCAGAAGAGGTGTTCATGTGCTTTTCTCAAAGTCGTTCATCATTATCAAGGGAGAAAACGTATGAGAGTGAAACAAATTGTTACAGCCATCTCTATGTTTGAAAAAAAAGAAATGCTGACAAATTCACTTAATGTGGGCGTGAAGTTGAATGTTCAAAGTTTATTTACCATGTCGTTCCTGAACCATGTCATGTTGTAGTTTCTGCCAAAAGAGCGCGTAAACTCAGGCAACAGTCTCTCTCTGGTTGTTACAGTCTCAAAACATAATTCCCTTGTTCGGATCCTGCAAGTGGATAATTTTCTTCGGTCGACCTCCATTCACGTCCTTGAGAAATCTCTTTTTCATGCTCTTACTCTTGAAATTTTCGCACAAAATTTGAAGTCAGTGCGGCATTCAGTGGTTTTTGGATGCAAGAACGATGCCGGTGCACAACAACGTAATCCTGAAAACTACTCATTTAGATGAGAAACAGTGTCCCTTGGTTGGCTTTGTCTCGTATTTCTATGAACAAAGAATGCATTGCTTTCATGGACGGTAGCTAGACAGAGACAGGATAGTGGACTCTTTGTCGGTCGAGTCTGCAGATCTTTGACTGTCACATAGTGATCTCTGCCATAGCGCGGGAACCCGTTCACGGTTTGTCGACCGCCGCCGCCATCATCTCCTGCAGCGGTTGTTGATGTTGACTACTTAATAAGCAAACAAATTAGTGCATAAGTGAGCTAATTGGCAAATCGCTTTGGATGAAACGTCCACGGAGGAACAGTTGGTGGTACGATTAAGCTCATCATCCCATTTTTCCGACACAGGTCCAATGGTTCTACAGGGTCGGATGGCTTAGGTCTTTTTTAGTCAGAATTTGCTCACGATTGCGACGCTTTTTGTTGATGTCGCATCCTGGTCCAGAAAAGCAATACTAAAGTGATTGTTTTTCTGTTTACACAGCGACACTCACATTCTATATCTGATATGCTTCGTTACCAGAGGGGGTAACATGTGAGTTGGATACTCCCGGTTTTTGAAGTTTTTCACGGAAATGTTATCACACCATTCGGGAAAGTCATGATTATGGGCAGATGATAGCGAAATTATCGTTCCATCGCCTGTTTTGCATTCTTGTCAGCAATTTTTTTCAGACTTCATGTCATTTTCACGTGGACAATCTCTGATCGGTTTCGATTGCTCGAATCTTTTCGAACCGATCG